ATATGTACTGCAGTGAGGGCAGATCCCTTTTCTGTTGGTGTCTATGGCCAGAGAAAACATGGCAGCTGCATCCTGCTGCTTGATGAAGAAAGGCTGTTTGTGCTGAGCGTCTGGAGCCGGTGAAATTTGCTTTCTGGTTTCTACCCAAGGTATCAGGAACAGAGCAGCGATCTCAGTGTGTCTGCACAAAAACGTTGTTCAACTTTTTGTGGTGTGAAAAAGTATTATTTTAAAAATTTTTGTACAGAGAAAATAATTTTTAATTCCACATTATCAGCTAGTTAAATATAATGTGTTTTTATAGACTTATTCTATAACAAATAGTGTTTGAATATAGGGTAGTATTTGAATAGTGATTACTCTCAACATAGAAATGCCAGTATTTGTGAATACTATTACCTTTATGTATTAGTTCAGTTTTGAGGGAAACCCCCTACGTTCTTCCAGTACCTCTCATCTGTATTTGGCTAGAGGTGTCTTGTGTGCTTGAGGTTGCCTGTCAAAACAGTAGCCAGCTCTGTGTTCCTGTCTCTGGACTCCTGATTTCAGAATCAAACCTGCATTTCTCACTGGTCCAAAACTTTGAAGGCATTTTGTTAACTATTTATATGTATGTTGCTGTATTTATTTAGCCTTTAGCCTGTTAGATCCCTGCGCTCTACTGATTGTTCTGCAACAAGGTAACATTCTGAAGTGAAAGCACAGGGTGCCTAAGGTGAAGGCTCTTTCCTCCTGTTCAAGATTGTAACATAGGTACAAAGTCCTGCAGAGACCTGGTCTTTTTGGGGTAGTGCAAGTGCATACTGAGGTACTGCAGCTTAGCCCTCAAACACCTTGAGAGCAGAAAAGTGAATAGGTGACAGATTTGCTGCCTCAGCTGAACTGAGTGCAGCTGTGTGTGTCACACCATGTCCTACAAGAGCTACCACATCTTGTGTGATGCCTTAAGCACAAAGACCTATGTTACTACAGCTGTAATTCCACATATGGGCCGTATTCTGACAGCAGTGACTGTGGAACAGGGGAACCTTACAGCACAGGAGTGTGCTTATGCTAAAATAGAACAAAGCGGAATAGGAGGTACAGCCGGAACATCAACTGGTGCTTCCTGACTCTACAGGCTGGCCAGGCATACAGGTACTTCTTGCATGCTGCTCCGGCCTCAAGCCTCAGCAGGAAAATTGTGCAACATCAACACAGTTTACTCACTTTAGTATATAATTAGAATAATGAAGTTGTTCAAGACATAATGATCTGGTGATCAAAAGTAGGATAATAAAGAGAACATCATCAAAAGAGAGCGCTGAATTACTGTTGTAGGGATGGGATGGGAATATAGTAACTTTTCCCCATTGTTTACATAGGATCTTCTTCTAATATAGCCTCAGCAAAAATGAAACACAGTATCCTGGGTGTGCGCTTCTGTTACTGAGAATCTTCTGACACAATGAAAGTAAACTAGTTACCTGATGAAAAAGCTGTATATCTAGGACAGCACAACTGAGATTGCTTAATGTACACAGGAGGAAGAAAATGTTTTTCTACCAAGAAAATGATTTTCTGGAAACTCCAGGTCAGCCAAATAAATTTCTAATGGTTAAAAGGATCTGTAATCAGTTCTGGTTCAAGTATGTTCTTGTTAATGGATCTGGTACTTCATGAGGATGGAAAAGAGAGGAATAAGGTCATTCTTTATATGGCTCCGCAGTAGCCTATAAAATGCAGAAATTACACCTACTTCTTCATGTAAGTTTTAGCTGCCTTATGGAAAAACAATATATTGTGCTATATTTTGCTGTGTGTCCCTTAAGCCCTAGAAAGCAGAAACCATCTCTCAGGCAGTATTTTCCATTCCAGCTCAGTTGTACAGCAAGAATTTACCAGAACGAAATTGATTTTTACTGTGTATTGCATTCTGAAAAAAAAAAAAAAACAACAATCCCAACCCTTACTTAATTCAGCTCCTGAATGTTTTTTCAAACACTGACATTTAAGTGAGGTAGATGTTTCCTTACAAGATGTGTGCACTTGTGAAGAATACGTGCCAAGAGTTAACAGACATGACTCCTGTAGCCTTAGCCAAGAAAAAGGCTTCAGAATACACTGACTATATACATTCGTTTAGGAAACATTCTTCTTTACGCCCAACTAACTGTAATTAACTTCTGTTATCATCTGGTAACATACAGAGAAGTCTATTAGACCATAGAAAATAAGAAGTAGAAAAAGAAGTCTGTTTAATGTTGGGGGCAAGTACTTTATATGCCAATGATTTCCCTTTAGTTGTTTGTTATACAAAGTGTGGTGGCTTACATACAGATGGAAGTAAAACTTGGTGTTGAATTTTAGCATAGCGAGAAAACCAAGTTTGAAAGTATTTGGACTTGAAATGTTACTCTTTTCAGATGCAAAGCTTCAGTAAATGAAATATCTTTCTTTTGTGCAGTTCAGTTGAAGACTTTAAAAACACTTCAAGTTTTTTATAAGCTGATAAAAATACATGGAACAACTAATGAAACATGAGACATGCCCATGAATGGAAAAACTGAAACTTGCCAGGTTTGATCACAACATGGTGTTTCCAACTGCAGACCATATAAACCCAGTAGGTTGCTTGAAAGCTTTGTTGTATTCTCTTGATTCTATTTTTATGCCTTTTCGCAAGAGCAGAAACTAAAGAAGCCAAATGTGTCTTGGAAGCTTGTTGGCTTAGTATAAGGCATGATAGCTGATCAGTTCAGTGACACTAAGCAGCCGTAGCCATCCTTAATTAAAGCAAAATAGGATGGTAGAGATGAACTTAAAAGCCATTAGGCTTCCATATGTTCTATGCCAACTATTGTACAGCATACATGTATTTTGTGTTTTATGTGTTTCCCTTTGTGCATGTGTAGTTACATGAGAAGGAAAAGGTACGAAGTCGGGCTCGCAGTCTGCTGCCTGTGATTTGAGAGATTTGGTAAAGCTGCCAGTGTTTACTTAATAGTGCAGGAAGTCCTAAGTAACAGCAACCCTTGGAGAGTGGTTGTGCCCTGCTTTGACTTGAGAAGTTTCGTCAAAACCTGCATGTCATCATGCTTGCCCTCCCACTTGAGCAGCACCTCTAGAGTGGTTCTAGGAAAAGACCGAAGGGGTAATAAGCACTATCTGCAGGTAGCTAAAGGGAGAAATGGCACGATCTTGGTGATACAACGAGAGTAAAATTGACATTTACTCTCAGGAGGAAAGAGGGACCTATGGAATGGTGCAACGTTATTTAAAATTGGAGTACTCGCATACTGGTTCAGATTTATCATCTACTTGGTTTGTAGCTTGGATATGTGAATTTGAAGGTTTTCCTTTTAAAATATGGAATGCACCTTAATTTATCAACAGTTACTAGAATAGGACTGATTTATTTCTATTTGGCATTGGAGGTGGGGGAGTATATTCAAAAAGTATTTGTTAACCAATCCAGTTTTTAGTAGATTTTAATAACTCTGGGTGGTTCTTGTGGTATGGTGGTGGTGGTGGTTTCCTTTCTTTTTAATGACTGCTGAAGAATGAGGCAATGCTGACACCTCCAAGATTCTACAGAATAAAACTGAGGCACTTGGCTACTTGAACATATTCTTATCTAAAAAATAGTACTGCTCCAGATGTGTCATGAACAACCCATTTAAACTCTTGATCAGCAAGAACTGCATGATTACATTCCTTAGAGAAGGCTGGAATAAAACTACATACAAAAGGTTTTTTTTTTATTTGTACAGCTAGGAATAAAGGCAAGATCTGATCACTCGCTGCATCTCCCTCAAGCTGCTTAGTGAAACATGACAGAAGGGGCAGCTGGCAAAGAAACCCATGAAACGTTGGAAAAAAACATTTGTACTTCAGCTTTTTGATGTAGTTTTCTAACAGAGGGACAGTAAAGCCAGTTACCATCATCTTAAGAGAAGAGCCTGCTGTGAAGCAATTTGGGTTTTTTGGTCTATTTTTCATCTTGCTTGTTTGTTCCTGTTAACAGGAATAAACTGTTCAAATACCCATATTCTGTTTTATTAGATTAACAGTAAGATCACAGTATCACAGTATGTTAGAGTATGTAACTATGACCCCATTCTCCAGGAAGGATGGGGGAACTGAAGTTAAACATACAAGCAAAACCTGACAAAATACCAAAATTGTCTTTTTTGACTGTGATAGAGATTGATGTTTGATTTGGGGGGGGTTGGGGTGTCTGTTTTATTAAAAATTAGATGCAACAGATTCTCTTCTTTTCCAGATTAATATACTGCAAAACTGCAAAGCAGTAGAGGCAACCCTGAATATAAGGGAAGAAGTATTTGAATATCTGCCTTTTACTTCTTGCTGCTTTCTTGATAAATTATTTGCAGACAACCTATTTACAAATGTATAATACACTATAGTGTCGCCATGCCAAATCTAAACCCAGGGAGAGCAGGGACTAAAGTCCATCTGACAAGTTCTCAGCATCATTTTATTGAAAACATGAAACATTTCCATCTTGAACTCATAAATGCAGCAGACATTGTGTTGTCTTCGGTATTTTTTCTTGTCTATGGAAAGTACTACACTAAAGAGTGGGAATTCTATTAGGATGGAGGAGGAGATATTGTAATGTACAGTGTTCATTATTAAATTAAAAAAAGGCACTTGCTATGCTGCTTGCCTAAATTTATATAAAAAAATTCCAACAAAACAACAAACCCAAAATATGCCTCCAGAAAAGAGTGGTAATACCAAAAGACGTTAAACATGTCCACAGAATACATTCATATGTAAAAAGACAGTAATAAAGTTACCACCTAATAACTTAAGCAGATAGTTTTACGGCATAACTTTAACAGTTGAAAGTCAATGAAACAGAGTTTGGAGTCCTTCGTAATTTTTCTTCCTTACTGAAAAAAACAAGCAAACAAAGACAAACTCACACTCCTAAATCAAACAGCTAAAGATGCTCTTCAAGGTTCCATTCATCCATTGCCACAACACAGTAATCCGCTCAAGGGCAGGAAACCAATCCTGCTACCAGTTTTTGATTTTATTTCTTAACAATTGATTAGACAACAATGCAACCCCAAAGCAGAATAATCACCAGGTAAAACTATTTGTCTTTCAAATAGACAACCCCTCATTGTGGTTCTGTATTGCAGAGTGGTTTGAGTGCATATTCAGCCACAGGCTGAATGCCACATTCAAAAAGCATTTGGAAAGAGACAAAAAAATATAAGGAACTACTAAACAGGTAGGCAGAAGTCCACATTTCTGGTCAACCCTAATGTTTGACAAGGAAGAAGGTAGTTGGTACATCAGAAGAGGGACATGCAGAATTCATTTGCAGAAACACTGAATGCCTCCACCAAAATCAAAATGCTTTCATCTCCCCACAGTTTAACAAAAGTCATAGTCATGTACATCCATGAACTCAAGCTAGCTTTCATCTCTTTAGTCTTGTCATGAACGTAATCAGCCTTCTATTTTCCTCATGGCATCTTCTATATTCACAGCTTCAGCATATTTTGAATCATATCTACCTCCAGTACCACTCAGAGTTCATCCTAGTGACAAGAAAACAAACAAGTTAACCTGAATGTACAAATAAAATCAAGATTTTTTTCCTATGATTTTATATTTCTCTGTGTTTCTTAAATAGAATTCAGGATACTTCTTAACTGCTGTGTATTTATTACCTTCTGAGTTAAAATGTCAATCCCAATCTTACACTAATCAGCCTTTGTAGTTTAGTGCCTGCTTATGAAATCTAAAGATTATGTTCAAGATACAGTGCAGCTCAACCATATATCGGTAAGGCAGCTGACCCACGGACATCTATAAATTCTGATAAATCTTGCCATAGCTGATGCTGCAACTGCAGCATTCTCTGCTACATATGTGGACATGGAAAACGGAGTTTAAAACAGATAATGAACCAAAACAAGACTAAAAGCAAAATATACCTGGTACTATTTGAAGATACGGAATTTAATATTTCCCAGACAAAGAGCAAACACAGAACTTTAAATGAGTGTTTTGCAAAAGACCCCACAGTAAGTATTCTTACCTTATTTCTAGACTTTTTTCTTTTTCCTTTATCTTGAATTGCTTTCAGTTTTTCATTCAAGAGGTCAGCGATACCTTTTGCATCCCTGCTGTCTATGTATTCTCCAAGAACACTTTTCTTAAAAAAGGAAGAGAAATAATTGTGAAACACATTATGCATACTCTACACTGAATAGAAATTCTGCTTACGTTCAGACAGAATTCAAGAGGAACACAGGGAGGAAGCCAACGGCTCTAGTAGGTTGATTTATGAGTCACAGTTATATTTTTGTCTCTGTTTAAACAACGTGAATTGTCTTTCTAGTAAGAACAACTACAAAACTATAGAAATTTTGTCTTGCGCCTTAAAGAAACCTGAAATACTTATGAGTTTTCTCAAATTTATTCAGCTAAATATTTAATGTAGACAGCCATTACAAAGTCTGTAATTGTTAGTTCCAATCCCCTGCCATGGGCAGGGAGACCTCACACTAGACGATGTCATTCAAAGCCCTGTCCACCCTGGCCTCGAGCACTGCCAGGGATGGAGCATTTATCGCTTCTTTGGGCAACCTGTTCCAGTGCCTCACCACCCTCACAGTAAACAACTTCTTCCTTATATCTAACCTGAACTTCCCCTGCTTCAGTTTTAACCCATTAGCCCTTGTGCCTCACACTAGACCATGTTGTCCTGATACTGAAGTGGTTTGATAAGGTTTTTGAGCCAGAACACAACTCAATATTTTAAATCTTCTTTTCTATCTTAAAATGCATTATTTAAGTCAAAACTATAATTAAATGTTGTGATTATATTGAAAGAATATTTCTTCTTAGCCAAAATGAAGGTGTCCACATTTCAAGAGACGCTTTGCCTGCTTTTGAGTAGCAGGAGGTAGAATTGATAAAAGTTGAAAAATATTTTGTTACATGAGACCCCTGCAAAATTAAACCCTGGTTCTAGTTAAGCCCACATTTTAGATACTGTTCTATTAACTTATAGTTCCTTATTTTCAGTAACGCATCATTACTGTATCACTGTCCTACTATTTTAAGTGTTACCAATACTGATTATTAATGAATCTCCAGAATATCTAAATAATGCACTTCAATATGTTACAGATATAGCCTCTTCAATCAAATGTGAAATGAAATACATCTACTAAAAGAGCTCACTCACCAGCATACACAAAGGAGACACTTCACTTTACCTTTGTTCCTTGGTAGGGGTAAAACTTGACAGTAGGGTAGGCTCTGATATCAGCAGTTTGACAGGTCTGACCATATGCCTGACAGTCAACTTTTCCAGCTTTTACTTTTCCTTTTACAGCCTAAAAAGAAATGTTTATTAGAATCAAACTTCAAGTTTCAGTGGGTGACTGTACGCAAATAACTTGAATAAGCCAGGAGTGCAGCTAAATATCTCAGAGTAGTTGTTTATTTGCTTCTCAGGCTGTTAACCTTGTATTAGAAGTCACGACATGCTCAGTGGAACACTTCTATTTCAATTTGGGGCAAAGCACATGACAGTTCCAAAGCCCATCCAATCTTAAGCTGGGATCTGTCTCAAAAGAGGGCCTGTGTGTATGTCTCTGCAAGAGACAACACCCGCTGGCAAGTGGGAGGTAGAAGTGTGGACTTTCAATTAGAAAGGGGTTCATTAGCGATATGCAATTTTTGGATGATCGGTAAGAAAAAGGTGCTGATGAACTGTATTTTATCCATTATAAAAATCTAATACAGTTAAAAACCTACCCTTGCAAGGATCTCAAATTCAGGAGCAAAATTTTGGCATGGTCCACACCAAGGAGCATAAAAATCAATGACCCAGTGATCTTTTCCATTCAGAACTTTTTCTGTGAAACTCTGAGGAGTCAGGTCTACAGACACTTGTGGTAAGTATCTGTGGAAAGGAAGAACAACAGTCCTAAACCATTCTAAACTTTGAGCATATCCAAGTTCCATTTAAGTACAAGAAAAAATTCTGAAATTAAGAATAGTAGGAGTCCACAAATCCCTACGGTACACTTTGTACTGCAAGAGAGTCACTTTCTAAAAGTGGTAGGCAGGATAATAACATGGTCTTCAGGAAATGGGTGGGCAGTAGGGAGTATGCCATTTCTTGAGATAAAGGATATGGAAATCTTAATAATACATGTACCTAAGTGCTTCTAATTCTTGATTCACACAGCATTTAAATATTCATTTCTCCTAGCAAGCAAATTATGTAAGTGGTTTGTGAACAAAGTTTAATGCAGCAACTTACCCCAATGCCCAGCCTCTCAGTGAATATGAGTCCCTGTGCCATCCATTGTAGCTACTGTAAAATGATTGAAAAGAAAATAAAATTCCAGTTGCACAGTGGTTTGAATTATGTTGGGAAACCAAACAAACCAACCCCTAAAAAACCCAAACGCAACAACATCTCTGTAGAGTGGAGACAATAAAATAATGAACTTAAATGCATACGGTTTAGGATATATTTCTATGTTGCTTTTGAATCTGAGTAAATAAAAATTACAATTCAAAGATGTGGAATTAAGGACTAGAAGATAAAGAGAAGAAAATTCTGTCAGGAGAGTAAAACTTGGTTTTGAGCATGTAAGCTTGAGAGCTAGAGCTATTTTTAATTAAGAATCTTTGTTAACAAGTCCAGATACAACTGCAAACTTTAAGAAACATGAGAATTAAACTGAAATATCTTAGTACATTTTCTATTTGATTTTCAAGCATTACAATAAAACAATTATTTGATAGCAGAAAAGCAAGGCAAACTGGTTACTTGGACAAGGATTTACTACTTGGAATTCCAGGGCATCGCTTAGTTTTGGAATTCCAGTGACAGGTTAGAAAAAGGATTAATTCTGGATTCATATCCACTAATTTACAACTTTATAACGAAGACAAAGTATTTAGCAGTAAAGTTACCTGGTCAAAATCTGACCTGATAGGTATTGGTGATTTGAGAGACAAATTTCCTTATTTTCACAGGAAATAGCTCACTCATGATTAGGAATTTGGCACTTAACGGTCACATTCACCAACTTTGTTGATTTCAATAAGAAAGAGATTTCTGCTTTTAAGAGAAACTTTGTCTAGAACTGAATAAAAGGAAGCAGCTCCATGATGAAAGCTACTGAAGTTTGCTATTACGCACTATGATGAAGAGGCATTACAATTCATTATCTGCCAGCATTTAATAGAACTTTCCAATTTGAAAAACAATGAAGCAGCACATCTGCTATTTCAGATGTTATCTATCTTGAAATATGTAAATTTCCTGAAATCCCTGGATCTTCAAACAGTACTGTGAAATGGAGGAGACAGGCTGTTTGGCTTAGCCAGATTTTGTTACCTACTGAATCATGTTAATGATTAATGTTTCCACACTAGTGATACAATGAATGGGATGACTAGATAAACAGTGGACAATTTTTGCAATGGTGCTAACACACTGTTAGCAGGAGGGATGATCAGATGGCTACATCCCTCTGTTCCCTAAAGATAAGGCTGCAAGCAATTAGGCCTAATATTTTTATAACATATAATTTAACAGGCAATAAAGTTAGAAAAGTGGCAATAGCTAAAGAACAAGAAATAAAAATTAAGATTCCTGAGGCAGTCTCAGTTCAAATTACTGAAATGAAATGTCAAAATAAAATGACACTGGTTTCAAGTAACAAAGAGTGTAACATCTAGGACAGTAATATCATAACAGCGTATTTTACAGCTGTGATGAGTCTTTTCTATACAGCCGATGATGTATATCCATATTGTTTCTTATCACCTAACGTTTCTCAAATCAAAATAGGCTACTTACTAATACTGATGAGCTGTGTTTGATTTTTGAGGAAAGAGTCTTATTTCAGGATATCCTCGAATGCTTTCTTGGTGACAGAAAGAATAGTATTTTTGGCAATCCACACTGCCTACACCGATTAATCCATTTAACATCTGAAAATAAAGAAGAAAACCTACAATTAAATGTGCTAATCAATACTACTATAAGACTTCAGAATTAAAGCCTCAATCACTTAGCTGGGGAAAAAAAACAACAAAACAAACCAAGATTATCACAAGGTTTATTTCTCTCCTATAAATGAGTCACTGGTAGCTAATTAGAGCCAGCAATCCAGGTGCATTCTCATCATGCACATACCTATTTTAGTATAAGCTTGCACATGGCTCATGAGATACCCTGCCTTGAAGGTACGTGAGTGTCATTATTTAGAATAAGGACTAACATATTACCATGTTTCACATCACAGGCTCAAGAATTATGACAGAATCTCGTGCAGTGCAGATGTGCTATCAGCTGCACAGCTGGCCTGTGTCTTAAACACACTGTATTTGTTGCAAAGGCACAAACCACCCGCCATAGGCAGTGAAGCTTATGATTACTAAACATGTGCTATAGAGCTGGCTACTAAAACTTCACAGACAGGTGACCAGAATAGAGAACCCTACCTAGAACTCCTAGCCTAGGTGAGCTCTAAACGCCTCAAAGTCATGGACTTGTTTCCAAAGCCCTATTCCCTCACACCCCAGAGTTTCAAGTTCATATTCCTGGAAACACATCCAGGAAAACCTAGATGCTTGTCCATAAAGTAATTACTTTTGCAAATGAGAGAACGCTGTAATGATCTTGCAAACCAATTCTTATCTAATTTATGGATAAATCTTTTTTTCTACTTTGTTTTAAACAGATGCAGAGCTCTTTATCTGAAGCACTAAGCATTAAGAAAAGTTAGTTACTCTAAAGTTTCTTAGATCTTGGAAAACACACTTGTATCAACAACAAAAACTGGAGTACACTATATACACTGTACTGAACCTTAAAACAGACAAACAAAAACTTTGTATTTGAAACAATGTAAAACTATCAGTTAGGAATTCCCTGGTTTGTCAGCAATATTAGTCACTGGACTTTGACAAACTCCTAAGACAGCAGTTGTACTGCCTCAATGATTCCACAGAAAAGGACACAAAACAAGAAAAATGTTTGAATGTCATTTACCCTGGCCATTTTTTTCCATTCTGGCATTAAAGCCTGACAAGGTCCACACCACGGAGCATAGAAGTCAACCACCCAGATTTCCTCTCGTTTTCTTCTCTGAACTAATTCAACAAATGTCTCTGGCGTTAGGGACACCACTGATGGATTCCGAAGATCCTAAAGCAAAGACAGCTTGTAGACATACACTTTGCAACAATAAGTTGCACCATATCTAGCACCATCACATATGAACAGAATGTGCAAATTCTGAGAATGTCCCTCTTTTAGTGAGCTGTGCTTGCTGGTATGATTGGGAAGACTCCACACCACTGAAAGGCATGGAGGCACCAGAAGTCAGCCCTTCAACCTAACAATCAAATGCCTGATTTGCTGAGAAAAGTTATCCAAAAAATACAGTTGGGCTGCAAAAGGGAGGTTTTCGGTCTCTCTTCCATCAAGAGAGGCAAAAGGGAAGAAATTCAGCTTACCTGGCAAGCGCAGGCATTATGAGACTCAGCCATGCTATTTAGGCTGGGATGTAGAATGGTGCACTAGGGGCCCCTGAATAGCATCTGAAAAAGATTGATCTCTACCTGGTCCTGCACAGGTGCTCTTAAACCTGCTTTTTCTGGGCTACCTGGAGAGAATTAATAGCGTCTTGAAAGAGTGGAAAACAACCTCTGGATCTAGCAGTGAGAGAACCTGAATGCTAGAGGAAAAGATGGGCGCCAGAACTCTGGCAGCAACAATGATGAGTAGCAACGATTTGCAGTTCTGCAAGTTAAGAAAGTTAAAGCCAAGAAGCATGGAGGGCAGCAAGCTCATTTACAAAAAAGTGAACCTCCTCTTATTTCAAGCTGTGCACCTGTTCACTTTCATATTACAGCATTCCATACTTTTAATTCATTTATCCTCTCTATAAGATAGAAATCGTTACTATTACTTTGCAGATTGGAAGGGACCTTAAATTATTGGCTATGATCTCAAAGAAACTACTTGTCAGGGAAGGAAAATTACGTGTTAAGTCTGTGACTGACAGCTGCTGGATCACTCTTCTTGCCCAAGTTTTTTTTCGCTCTTTATCTTACTAGTCTAATTAATAATAAAACCCCACTAAATCTTAGAATCTTCCAAATAAAGAACATGTTTGTGGGTGAGCATGACTGCAACAAGGATTATAATTTACATACCTCTATAAACTCCAAGATCTGCTCAGCAGAGTGATGTCCTTCATATTCATGAACATCAGACTGATTGAACACAACTGTTGTTGGATAAGCTCGAATGTTGTGCTAACGAAACAGACAATAAGAAATGGTAAGGAATGATTAGGTTTCTTGTACTTGAACTGCCATTGGTATTTGTGGCTTGCTCTTACGGATCTGTTGCAGTTTGTACAGTGTAACTGCTCAAACTTATGTGCAGATGGGAATTTGAAACCATTACAAATCAGTACAGAGAAGATACGACATATATTCAGAGATGGCATAGTTTGTTCTCAATTTAAAAAGCAGTCAGTAGCAATTTTGCCATTCTGCACAAATACAGGAATTAATCCATGGGTATACTTAGCCTTAACTTTAAAGCTCTTACCAGTCCTTACGTGGAAACACTTGTACTGTATGAATAACTGTACTGTTTACTATCAAACACAGATGCTTCCATGATTTGAATTCTTCAGAGTGTAAACACACATAAGACTTTAAAAAGCTTGTCCTTTTTTTGCTTGTTTTTATGTATTTCAAGGGATTCACATTTTAAAGATAAGTACAAACTTTTTAACATAAAAAGTTGCAGGGAAACTGTCACAATGCAGTATATTCTGGACTTTAGGATAAGCATCAATAATTCCTACCATAATAAATTAACTGAAGAAAAAGTTAAGCAAATTTAAACATGGTAAATTGGTCAAGATTTAAAAAAAAAAAAAAAAAAAAAAAAAAGATTTCATTCCACTACTGTATCTTTAAACACGTGTAAACTGATAAATATAAACTTTCCTTAATTTGAAATTGATCCTGGACTACTTAAGGCACTACAAAACCAAAACCCAAGGCAGTTAGGGTGAAGTGAATTAAAGCTGTTTTACAGATATTGTCAAAAAGCATTATTTCAATTAAAAACTTGCATTTTTAAATGTTTTACTGTTTTCAATCCTCCTAAGTGAAGAACAAAAAGAATGCATGTATGTATGTAGAAATACATTAAAAGACTTTCCGGGCCTGCTTTAGGAATTACTAGATTTTGACACTTCCAGAGTCTTCCAATAACATTATGAAATCAGAGCAAAACTGACTTGTATTTTGCATTTACTTTTATCTGCAGTGGTCACATAGTTTGTTCCTTTGAAACTAAAAAAGGATACAGGTGTCCTGTTTTGCTTACTACCCTTTAAGAAAGTAACATTAAATAAGCAAACATTGTCCACCCCCACACTCCAACTAGAAGAAAATAATACTCTTTAAAAGGATTGTATTTCCTTATTTTATGCAGCTTACCATGTTGCAAAGCCCTTCATGGACAGTACAGTCCAGTGTTCCAAATTTAAGCTGACCATAAAGATGTTTGGATGCTTTTCTCAGCTCTGGTAACAAAGCCCGACAAGGAGGACACCACTGGAAAACAAAATGCAAGTGGGCGCAGTTGATTTCCCTGCAGCTGACTCTCAGGAGAATGTTTGAGATGAATAATACCCTGCTTTGACAACAGACTCCACTAAACACAAACCCCACACAGTCTAGGAACACTAGTGCTGCCAAGACATGAGGAATTACAATACCATCTCATGATGCGGAAGGAAACTTCCAAGATACTGCTAATGTTGGGTTACATAGTTATACAACAGATGCTAGAGGGGAAACTAGATATGAAATAACTTACCGGTGCAAAGAAATCCACAAGCCAGGGTTCCTTCTCTTTGTCAGGAAAGTTCTGAGGTCCCAGAGTGATAACATGAGAGTTGACACTTTCCTTGGCAAATGCCACGATGTCATATAAGATCTTCTTTCCTTCAAAGGACAATGTAGAAAGGAAACTTCATTTTTCCATATGACAGATCTCATTAAAAAACCTCAGTGATAGTGACAGGAACCCTTCAGTTGCCTTGACTGATCTTTAAATATGGCCTGCTAAAATAGATTAAAGAGGTAGTGACTCGCTTTTTCTCAGGAAAACAATGTTAAACTGTCCAACCCTACACAGGTAAGAAAACTCTAGGTGATATTTGGCTAAATATTAACCTGGATATTTACCCAATATTAGCCAAATAAATGTTTTATCCAAGACAAAACCATGTTTTTATTAAATAAAATGACTGTTTTTTTTTTTTTACTGGAATATTGGCTGTTTTACCATTTTCCTGGCATTTGTTGGAATTAAAAAGTTACTATTGTAGATACACCTGCCTTGGCAAAGATATTGAGACATTGAAGACTTGAAGCAAAATAAATGATACTGGCAAGTCACCCTATTTTTGCTCCAGTGGGCAAAGATCAAGTCTTTTCATACCCTTGTCAACTGAAATGAGTTTCTGTCTTGAAATGAACAAAGGATAAGAACCTCAGGGTAATTAAATCTCAGGTCACTACACAATGACTTACTAAGATTTATTACTGTTGTTAGATTTTAAACTACTGAAGCCTTTCAAGATAGCATATAAAAAAGTCTGATTCGTTCGAGTATCACACCATTATAAATACTGAAGTAAGACTGCTGTTAATAAACATTCTAGGTGCTATCAATTTTGTAAATAGTAAAATCATTCAGAACATATATACTGCAGTTCGATGCATTTCTCATACCCTATTTGTAAATATTCTGTTTGGTTTCACCATTATAAAAATATTTAAAAATGCTGTATATATATGACCCTTTCTTGTCTTCCCTGTGCTGGACTGAAAATTGCAAAGTGTACAAAGCTTTACCCTTCTATCATTAGATGTATGGGATTATCTTTCGCCCTTAGACATGACTAATCTTTTCTAAGTGGTCAAAAGCTCGTCTCCTCTCTTTATTACGGTACTGAGGCTCTGACTCCATTCTAGCAAGCTGCTGCTAATAGTTCAGAGGCTGAAAAATTAGAACTTCATCTCACATAATTGCATCGTGCCACATTCTGGATGAAGCTACGCCTATTGCTGCAACCTACAGTTTTGTTTCAGGCTTTATTCTTCTTCAACTAACATTTTTGAATCCTTTCAGCAGTACACAGTAACATAGTTCCAACCTTTCCTGGAAGGAAATCACTACATTGGAAATGAGGTGGTAAAAGTCTCCGTGTAGGTTTTCTTGGATGAAAGACAACAAAGCATGGAATTAGTTTTAGTGCAGCGACACATGAAGTCTAATCCAAGTTTCTCAAGTTGGAAACACTGTATAACTAGCATGTTCAGCCTCTATGAAGGGTGTGCCTTACAGCATTCTTTGGTTATCCCACCCAAAGTAGAAGCTGTCCTGTCAGCTTCAAGAGATTTCATTTGTAGCTAAGTACGTAAATTACATTGAAACAGACAGGATAGTAAAGACAAAATACATCTCTTGGCATCTGATGACTGCTTATCCAGGAAAAAAAGAAAAAACAAATCCAAAATAAAACACCCCCAAAGGAAATGATAAGTTTGTACAAAGCTACAGTAAGGTCAGAGGAAAAATAGCAAACATGAAAACTACAAAACTGTTCTTTGGAAAAAAAGTTTGCCAAAGACAGTGTCATCTCAGAGTGCTTATGTAATGATTTAAACTTGCCAAAGTTTCCCTTACCATGGTGAATTTCATAATCTCCAGTGCCTTTTCCTTTGAAGACTGCTAAACAAGGCTGATGGACATACAGTTTGTTGCAGATGGTTGGTGAGGAAAGACAGTCAAACTTGCCAACCTATTTAACAGAAACTGCTACTTTAATTAAGGCATCCTAATCTATATGAACTAACATATTTTGAAAGGCAGTAGGAGTTGGGGAAAAAAAGGTAAAAATATGGAAAAGTGGTGCCTTTTTGGTCTTAAACTATGATGTTTGAGGAAAACTATCAGCACAGCTACATTAAGTTACTTTTTTAAATTAAAAGCCAAAATGGAGAATAAAACCTTCAGAAATCCTCCTTTTTTTCTCCTCCAGATAAAGCAGCAAGGAAGCAAAAAACCAGCTAAAATAAATGTGACATTAAAATTCTTCTAGTCAATGCAACAAGTTTTTGTGAAAATACATACTTTATAGAATTAACACAATCCATATGTCTTGAATTTTCAAGATAATTATAGGGTTTTCTGAGTGGTTAAAATACAGTTTCACATACATCAATTTGATGCTGAAGTGTTAACTTTTAATTGTTAACTGAGTGGGATCTGCAGCACCACGAGAGAGCAGATTTAAAAGATAATCTTTCCTAACTACTTTTAAATTACTCAAACCATATGGGAAACTTCATTGCTTGCTTTAAATTAAAAGCTTTCCTACAGATCTACGACATGTATCTCAGTACCAGAAGTGGCAAGTGGTAGTAACAGGTAAAAATAATGAAAAACATACTGACTTGTTCTCTGAACATATGTATTCAGAGCTAGATGAGTGAGAAATCTTACCTGAATGTGTTCACCTTTAAGTAAAAATTTAAGTTTCTTAAATTCCTGTGTATTTGATTTATCATTCTCTCCAAATTGGAAGAAAAGCAGCCATCGGTGATGAGCCAGATGGTCCTTTAAACGAAGAAAAAGGACCCCTCAAAACACAATAAACACACAGATAAAAACACCCCAACAAACCCCAACTTATACCAACCTGTAAATTTCCTTTATGTTTTATAAAGGCAAAAGCCTAATTATTCATCTGATCTCCAAGTGACCTCCTCCACCCAACGAATTCTTTCATGTAGTCCTTCCACTAAACTTCATTTTAATACATTATAAGCAGGAAAGAGGAAAAACTCTGAACCATGCTACCCTCTATACCTTTTGTTTCTATGTGCATTGCAGATCAAGCTACTAAGTGCTACTACAAGTGTGAAGAGAGGTTTCCTCTCCTTTTTTCCTCCAAGAAATGAGTAACTTTTGTGACTTCTAATTTCAGTTCATACATAATTTATCACCGACTAACAAGTATTTTGCTTTTCTTTCTTACATTACTGACAAAATACATTTAAGGCAAGATTCTCTATAATGTAGTTAACGTAAAAATAACCAGAAAGTCATGGCTGCATAGTGAGTTACAATGGCAATTTCTGCGTTTTTCTATTTTCCTGTTAAATACACACCCGCCCCCTTACTTTTGTTGTTTTGCTAAACAACAGAAGTAAACGCAGACAAACAATGTTAAATAATTTTGGCTACAGAGGAAGAAAGGCCACTTTCAGTTAAATAAATACTGGTTTGTGCCAACAGGATTTGAAAAATGCAAAAAAACCCAATAAAAATCCCAAACAATGATTATTTAAAGAAATCTTAACATATTTTTTAAAATTTACCTCTAATGATACTGCAGGGATCATTTCAAAGTCTGGCAGATGCTTCATTACTTCCTGATATATTTCTCTGGCATCCAAGGAGCTAAGAAACTAGGAAGGAAAGGTAACTGTGGTTTTTATAAGGAATTACAACTTGATTGTTGATGATTAGTACTCAAAAGTATCAGGGAAATTATTCTGATTTGTTTCTTTCCATCAACTGAAGGGTACAGTTAATAGCATGTTATTTGATCACCTTTTTCATATATATAATTTCACAAACATCACTCTTAGAATACTGCTTTTTAGCTTGTTTTCCTACAATATTAAACTTACAATACTGTATTTTGCCAGATGGGGGCTAAAAGTCTCAAATCCAAATTTCAGGCCAAATTTGACAATCAAGTTTACCAGATTTCTGATCTAGTCTTACAGCCCTCCTACAGGCACTGAAGTTTCAGTAATCTTTAACATTTCGGCAGCAATATGAATCAGTAACTCAGAGGTGGCAAGGTACAGAGTTGAAAGCAGGCAGGTTTAATTTAATTTCCTCCTTTTAAAGATATAGATAACAGTAGTGACAATAAAGGAACAAGCCATTCTTCAAACTGTGACATGTCTCCATCAATTAAGGAAGTTAAAACTACCATACAAACGTAGGAGGAGGTTGCAATATTAGAATAGAGTCTAACAGCATAAACTGTTGCGACAGACGTCGTAGGAGTGCTTTTATCACACATGTCAGTACTCAGTTCAACTGAGTAACATTCCTCAAACCTGTGATATTCCTTTTGGAATAAAAATTGTGGGCACATGGCAAATCATAGAATGATAGAATTATTCAGGTTCGAAAAGACCTTTAAGAGCATAGAGATCAACGCTTAACTGCCAAGTACACCACTGAACCATGTCCTAAGTGCCATGTCTACATGTCTTTTAAATTCCTCCAGGGATGGTGATTTCACCACTTCCCTGAGCAGCCTGTTCCAATGCTTTACCCTTTTGGTAAAGAAGCTTTTCTTGATATCCAATCTAAACCTCCCATGGCACAACTTGAGGCCATTTTCTCTTGTCCTGTTACCTGAGAAAAGAGACCGACAAGCTTGCCCAGGATAGCTGGATAGCAGCTTTAGAACTAGCTCCTGGGCCTGTCACAGAGCAACATCCCACCCCTGGATTCCCATAGCTGCCCAGGGAGACTCCTGAGGAGCTGGATAAGCAGAGCTACAGGCTGCTGCTACTGCAGCATACTCCTGTTCACTCTCCCAGCATAGCAACAAACTGGGGACCACCTCCAGGGATCACAGTTTTAGAACCAAAGAGATATATAAACCCATATCACAGAGTACAAGCTTAGAAGAGAAAAAAAAAGCATCTTTTCTGTTGTATGTAATCAATGTAGAAATTATTTATACATGCCTTTGTCATTGCCATCCCCTTATTTTATCTAAATACAGAATGGTTGAGAAACAACTCATACCAAAACACCTCCTTTCTCTTTGTTATTTATGGTGGCTCCAGGTGGAAAGTATGCTGTAGTACTAGATGAGATATCTAAATTATCACAAAGCTCACCCTGGGTGCCACAGTCCATCCAGCCTACATTAACAAGACCTTCCTGTAAGAAAAAAACAAAACCAAACACAAAACGAAGAGTACTTTTTAATTTAAAGTTCTGAAATGTTTTTGAAAAATCCCCGCACAAGCAATTATATACATTTAGGAAATGGAAGAAAACCACATTATCATTAATTAGTTAATAATAATTCATATTTTATAAAATTCCTTAAAATTTTAAGGTTATTCCAACAGCTACTAAGTCACTCTTCTGAAAGTTAATGGGTGAAATCTTTGTTCTGCTGAACTCAGCGAAACAAACCTACAACTCTCAGCTTTCACTTGTTGTTTCAGCTACAAGTTGATGCTTTCACTTCTGTTATCTTGCTTTAAATATAACAGTAATGCTTTCAAAAGTGAAATGTTGCTTACCAACATGCCAGCTAGCTTAAGGCGTGTTTGGTAACTCAAGCAATCTGCAAAATAAAAATAATTTATTTATAAACATGAAACTTCAAATTGTTAATGCACTAAATGTGCTCTTTAGAATTACCCTTTTCCTCCCTACAAAGGTGACCATTTCTAAAGGCATGCTCCCTGGCTATTCATCGAGCATTTCAGTGACTTGAAGTTCTAACACCTAGAAATCAGCACTCAGTGGCTGTCTACTCGAAGTTAAATAAACATGAATAACACTATCTTGTTTCATCAACATAAAATTCTCATTGTAAAGATTTTAGTATTTGATTTGCTATACTAAGACTGACCTTTAAAATGTCTTCTTACCGTTTATAAAAAGCAACTAAGAGGTATCTACATACTGTCTTGGAATGAAATTTCAATGGAAATCTCAGTTTCCTGCGATTCATGTAATACCTCACTACAATAAATACATCATATGCTCTAATTGTGTCTAATTATGTCATCATATGCTCTATTAAAAAGTCCAATCCAGATTTCTAATAGTTACCTTTTGATGCAAAAGTTTTTATGAAACTAGATGCATCAACCTCACTTTAATTGGACCAAAGTTGAAAACTTACTAACAAAAGAACTGCAACTTGAAATCATGCTATTTACAGATGTAAAATCAAGATTGCAGCTCTGGTTACTCGGTTCACAGAACAAAGGTCTCTTCATAAGACCTAGAAATCTTTATTTGTCAAAGGCGTAGTGCATTTGCTTAGCAATACCAGCCAACCAAGGCAGCTTTCTCATATACTGCATCCGCTACTGATAGCAAGAACATCAGTAACAAACAGCTACAAAAAATAACTCAAATCTAAACTGTCGTAACATCAGTGCTAAGTGCCAGTTACTATGTCCAAACCTAAGAGAAAATAGCTTATTTTTGTGCATTAGGGGTTTAAAGTGGAGATACATCCTTTCTTCCACCCAGCCGTCACGACAAACTGGCTTGCAGCTATGCAGTATCTGCCAATTTGAGCTTCAGCTGGAAAGTGTCAGAGGCCTTTTCTGCCACTCCCTTTGAGGGTTTACATTAGAGTGCTGCGTTAATAACTTACATGACATTACAGATGCACAATAGCATAATCTTGCTGTTAATATCCCTTTTGTCAAGCTGCCTCTAAAATGGAGCTTAAGTGGCCTACAGTCCAAATACTGTGATCATCTAAGACGTTTTGTAACTTCTTATTAGAAGCAAAAGGGATTATGCCACTGTGAACAGAAGTACTTTATTTCCTGTTTGCCTTATTTGAAAGGTATTTAATATACCTACCCCCACGTTCAGCACAGAAGGTGATCAGCCAACCAACACCAGAAGCAAATGAAGTTTCAATGGCATTAACAAAGTTTCCTAAGAGCAAAACAATTCGCATCAGTTTGTGACTAGTTAAATGCGACTGTGAAACAATACAGATTTATATTAGCAAGTTACAGTAAAATATTTTTAGCCTCAGAAATAAGCAAGAAGCTATGTAATACAACTAAATTGCTGTATACATAGTTTCTGCCATATTGTATATTCTACAAGCAATTTTAAGACCACCACCCCAAACAAAACATGTGAACATTACCTGACCATAACTCAGTGACTGCGCTTGTAACATATTGCATGGCAAAGTTCTTTAAGCTCTCCTTTGACCTATCTCCATAATATTTCACTGGTTGCTACAGAAGAAAAAGAATACAAAATTAACCAAACCTACTTTTTTGAATAACAGTACTTATGTAACTGCAGGACACTCCTACACCCCCCAGCCTTGGCTCTAACTGTCTTCTCCCTTCTGTACTGGAATGTTTGGAATTTAGCTTTTCTTTCTAAATCCAGCCACACAAGGATAATTCAGTCTTAGAAATACCAACTCCCAATGATTATTTCTATTTAAATAAAAAATTGCTTGTATCAGTCCATTTTGTGCATGCACAATCTCTGCATTCAGCCTCTCAAATCTTACCATTGTCAAAATGTACCTAACTACTCAAGTGCAATTTTTACATCAGCCCTGGCACCACTACTTAACAAGCAACCATAAAGCGTGATGACCATAATGCAGCTGGCATGGAGAAAATCTTGTGGAAGGAATTTCCAAGTTTCTCTGGGTACAACATCATATTCTTTAGACTCAAAGCCACAGACTATTCTTTGTATTTGAAAAGTCCATTACAATACTGTAAGAGAAACTGTTCAAGTAGACTTCTTGCTTTGCTACAGCATAAATGCTGAGAGTATTTTCCTAAATCAGGAGTGATATGGTAAAATGATTAGAAAAATCCCACTGTGTAAACAAGATACCTATTTTTGAAGTAAACTTTCCAAATTAATTTAACTGAGGTGAAGGAAGAGAAAAAATATTTATTAAAAGGAAGTAATTTATTAAAAGGAAGATCTTTATATAAAGAACTATGATTGAACAAATATTAAAGAACTACCCTTGCAGATTTCTGTCTTTCAGAAAAATGCTGAGGTTTTATCACTCACCATTCCAGTTTTGAAAACATACAGACTGGGATAACTATTAATCCCTTTAATTCGGCAAAGCATTCTATTATCTCCACAGTTGACAGCTCCAATGCGTATTACTCCATCCATCTCCTTAGCAAACTCCCTCCACTAGGAAAAAGGGGGGAGAAAAGCGTATTTTCTTATAAACATATAACGAAACATCAGCATGTTTTATTCCTATTCCTGGTATTTTGAATTGCTGAATTTGGTTTCAGCTTCAGTGTAAAATCCACTTCTGAAAGTTTCTATGCTGTTAAAACCAATGGATTTTCAGAGTTAATTTGCTTGTTATACGTACCGTAGGTGCTAAGTCATGGCAGTGGGAGCATCGAGGAGAATAAAAATTCACAAACCACAATTCTCCTGAGTTAACAGCAGCATCTAGATGGAGAGCAGAAAACTCTATGTAAGTAATGCATATCTACAATGTAGTTGTAACTAGAAGGTACATGTTTACTATATTGTTTTCCCCAAAGCTGAATTAAGTATTTATATATCAGACACAGTTAGTAGCAGTAACTGATGGGATAAACATTGCACCTTACTTGCACATACCTACTGTTGTAAGCCAGTGCACAAAAACTGTATTTCAGAGGATATCAGCACCCTGACTTTCAACATGTTAATTAATATTAATTAAGAATAAATGTACTCTCTAAAAATTAATGTGGCTGAAATGTGTGATACTGTGAGTCTTGCTACCTTAAAAACAAAATACAAGTTCTAAAAGATATTTTACCCACTAGAACTTTCAATTTCCTTATATCACTTTAAGTATTTTCTGGGTTCCACCAGGCAAATTTTTTTTATGTTGAAACCCTAGTAGGTGAAAATGCAATCTGAAAATACAGGTTAGTTTAATTACTAGAAAAGTCAAGGGAAACATTGCTTGTAACAGAAAACAACAGCAAGGAAATATACACATGCAGAGATTATCAGCTTGAATTACAGTTTTCAATCTATTTTTGGACGTAATTTTTATAGTGAATTTCCCAACTGACATTTGCCTATGTTAAAATACCCTCATAAACAAGACAGCTAAGGAGTGTATAGATTATGCAAATTAATTAACCAAAGCAAGACCATGTTGTCATGAGGAGCATCATGAGGTTCTGCTATTCCAAAACTGGCTCAGCATGAAGGTCCAGCCCATACAAAGGAAACAGCACTCAAAATGCAGACAAAAAAATTAAAACTACAACAAAATCAGTATTTTTTTCTCGATAGTCTCTTAGTTGTAAGCATTTTAGCTACAAAAAAAACCAAACCAAGAACAACTGGATGATATCCTCACTGAAAGCGTTATCTTTCCAGACTTTGTTTTATTTAGCTGTGGTTTTAGCATCTGGTATCACCTTCTAGACTTGAACCTGTCATGCAAGGCAAAACTGACTGGATTTCACAGAAAAAAAAATAATTGAACTATAATAAAAAAGTCCTGCAAAGTGCATTTTTAGACAAGAGACCAAAAAATAGTAATGATAAATTAGGAGAAACAAAATTTTAATTCAAATTCTTCTTGCAGGTCTCACAAAATATCCTTCATACTTAAATTAAACCGTATATTGATACTTACATATTTGCTAACTACTACTTACCATGAAGCATTTAGGGTTTGGGTTTTTTTGTTGTTTTCTCTTCTAACAATGATTTTTTATAGGTATGTAGGAGACGTCTATAGAGATACACCTCAGAATGTAAAAATTCTTACTTTGGGTTGCCACATTGTCAAATAGATAGCTATTTATTTCAAACTTACCAAATTCTCCCCTATCCAGTGTTATAATTTCAGGATCATCATCATAAATACCTATTAAGAAAATGAGCAATTGCTTTTTATTTTTGTCATCTTTAAAATGAAGATACAAACTATCACCTTATTCACAAAACAGAAAAGAGTACACTTAAATTGAAATAGTAAGCTGGCAAAGATAGTTTTTATAACAAAGCTATATTTGTTTAGTAATATGTAAACTTAGTTTAATCTCTTCCTAACTCCCACACCATCATGATACAAAGGCTACCATCAGAACAACAATTATTTTGGTGTTTAGTTGACAAGTCAGCAAATGAGCAGAGAACTACCACTCTTACAGCAAGAGTATTAGAAATAACAACCAGTTGTCAGATCAAAATGTCTGGAAGCTTTCACTTCTCTCAGCCTCTGGTTATCTAAGCTATTTAGATCACAAAGGCATTTCAGCCACAAGTTTTTCCACTAACTGAATGTGTGAATGCAGTGGAATAAAGTGGACAGAATAAAGGTAAGGAAGATAGCTTTTCTAAAAAGCTAACCAATCCTACCTAAAACATGGCTACAAAACAGTCTACTACTTCAAGTATGCAAGAAAGTGCAGAGGTACCAAAAATACTATTGGACAGCATTATATTATGCTACTATGGCTACAGATTTTTTACAGTACCTAACATGGTGAGCGAGATGCCATTTCACCTGAGGTACACCAGGATTAAATGCAAATAGGTAACGAGAGAAATTAATTTCTACAGGTGACAAGGTAGTTCTTATATTACTATCCATTTACATATCATGTAATATAACACATACAGCCATCCACGCATACAAAATATCTGTATTTTCACATGTATATACACACACACAGAGTATGAAAATTAGATACAGATACTCTCCAAACTGGTAAATAGACATTCAAGGATATTGTTTCTCGATCAAGCATTGCAACTTCAGGCAGATGGTTATCTGAAGAACATTTAGGATAATTTCCGTATTTTCCTGTGATAGATGCACATCTGGCTTATTCAACTTCAATTTGCAGACATTAATTTTGTAGAGATTGGGTCATATTAAAATCAAACTACACCAGAAAATAAAAGTTTTCCCAAGGTGGAGGTTTATTTCAGCTTTTTCTTTCATATCAATCAAACCATGTTCCTCAGCTCTCTATTTCAGCTCACTCCTGTTACAGCAGCCTTGAGAGTGGCTCATCCCAACCTTTCCCTACAGCTACCTAAAATTTGTTGAGACAAACATTAACTTGTCTCAGGATCATTTCAGGTATGATTCTGTTGTTATTTTTTCATTTTCTACTACCTCTCTCTGATCTTTAAGTGATAATTGCATACAGAATAGGCTTGACAGTGCAAAAATCTCTCAAAATCCATTTAAGAATACCTTGCCTAGACAAAAAAACGTCTTCCTACATTAAAGAATTAAAAAGAATACTAATGAAACATTAACACTGGAATTTATGTGAGAAAAAGGGAAAAAAGAAAGAAAAATAGCTTTGCATTAAAAAAAAAAAAACAAACAACAAACAAATAAACCAAGACAAAACCCAAGAAATTAGATGACCAATTGAAAGGTAACCAGCAGGAACAAGAGGCTAGGTAAATAGATTATAACATTTACCAGTAAACATTAACAGGGTAAATAAAAGACTGGGTCAACAGAAAATGACAGCTACAGGAAGACAGAGAAGGCAGAAATCTGAAGAGGACAGATCTGTATCAGATCTTTTTATGCATTTCTGATGTAAGCACTGTATTTACTTGTGACTTCAAGCAAATCACAAACATACACCGTAACTTACCAAAATCATAGCGATAATAGTGCCAGCTTTCATAACGACCTCCTTGCTGCTGATCTTCAAGACCCTTCTCTCCGTATTTATCATACTTCTTCCGTAGATCTTCATCTTTAAGTACTTCATATGCTCTATTTATTTTCAAAAAATTTTCATGTGCATTTGGATCGTTCTATGCAAGGCAAAGTATAATTAGTAAGCAACTAATAAACCATCTTGCACACATAATTCTGAGAAAGTAATCTGGAAATGTTTTTATATCCCTACTAAAGATGCCAGCTGTGATGGCAGCAGACTTTACATGGTGATCTCCAAACAAACTACAGTAAAGTTTTCCCTTCCTGAAGCCATATACGTCTTCTCATCTCTTCATCCTCACTAAAGTACCAACTGAAATACAAAGGGAACAGGCAGGAGGCTATAACATTCTCCAGTGATGCCTCTTCTTTCAACTCTCTCTCTTCAATAGAAATAAAAGAAACCCTCTCAAGAATGATGACTTACCATTTACTCTATAATCTTTTCTACTTCCCTAGAATCCCCACTTGTCCAGTTTGAAAATCTCTGCTATAAACTCATCCCTTCTCATCTTCTGGTATAGACAGAGGCCCCCTTTTTATTTAAAAACCATTCTGGTACTAGGTACCTTAGAATTAGAACACTGAAAAATCTGCAGACATATTTTGAATGCCAGTTTGGGTTCTCAGCTGGTGCAATATAAAGGTGGTGAGCAGTACCTGCAGCTCTCTCCCACCCTTTTAACTTCTGCTTACGCGTTTCGTTCAAGAGACACTTTCTCTTAAAGAATCATGACTTGTTTATGTAGACACACAGGAAATTAATTAACATTACGGAATTTGTGTAATGACTTCATCTTCTATAGATCATCTTTAATGTTGAAAATAACCATTGAAAAATCTTTAGTAGTATTCTCATACTTGGGAGCTACAGAACCTGACCCAAAATGTTATTATTTTAAAGGTATTAACATAGGTAAAACAAAATTTGCAGTCAATAGCTACAAGTTGGCATTTCTAGCTTTCCTGAGATTTGGCTTTCTCTTTGAGCTTTCCATTGTAAAACATTAGCACCTCAGGGGCTTCAACATACTCTGTGCAGGCAGTCCCTGAACTCATAAGGAACATCACTGTCTTCTTGGGCTCTTGCAGATGTGGTTGCACATATGAGGATCCAAACCCTCACATTTCCTGTGAATTTCTGATTATTTCAGGAAATCTTGAGGAAAAATGTTTAAATTTTAAAGTGATTTCTTTGCACTTCAGAAAATATTGTAGCACAGACTGACCCATTCCCTGTCTTCTCTCTCTAAGTTATTCTAGAACTCCTTATTACCCTCCCTCGTTATGCCTTGGCAGTCCCAGAATTTCTGCGGCTTCCTATCCGATACTTGGAGATTGATGTCTCAGTACAGGCTGGTGGTGTTTGCTGTTTAGATGATGCTTCATGCTAGGGAAATAGTAAGTTCACCTAAGCTAAACAGAAACAGACAAACTCATCAGTTTATCAACAAGGTAATATGGTACAGAAGTAAGTTTTCCTCTATTTGCAAAATAGAATTGAGAATTAAGTTATCTTGACTCTTTTCTTTACTATAGCAATTTTATATTCAACACAATCATGTATGACCAGTCCTGTTTGGTAAATCTCTGCAGGAAATCCGAACATGTTATCAGGTGGTTACACTACTTCACAGGAACAGAGAAACATTTTAGATAAATTGAAATCACTTTTTGTTTAAACATTAAGACCCATTAACCCAGCAGCTTTAACCTATTAAAAGATGTAACTTACCTGATTTTTATCAGGGTGCAACTTCAGTGCCAGTTTTTTAAATGCTTGTCGTATTTCTCTACTACTTGCTTCTTTGGACACTCCAAGTAAACTATAGTAGTCCTGATCAGTGCACACAAGAACTATTACACATACTAAAAGTAGCAATAAAGATTTTTTGGAACATCTAACACAGTCTCCTTTGGATACCAAGAACTCCATTATGAAGGTTTTGGGAAGTCTCCGGGTTCCGATTTGAGCAAGCTTTGGGAAGATTCTCCAACAAATGTGTGGACTTTCAGAGATACAGCTGTACTTATGACAGAGCTCTTCAAATGCTGGCTGCCCTACTTCATGTCACAAGCCTTGCAAAAGTTACAGCCTATAAGAAGAAGGTAGAAAAAACAATTAAGTACATTTACCTACTTATTCAAAAAATATATCTTAGTAAAGAACGCTATTGCCAGCGTGTGCAGCCTACACACGAACATTGTTGATGCCTAATTTCCTGCTTTCTGAAGACCACACAAGTGACAGATAACCTCTTTATTAGGTAGACTGTGAATGAGGTAATCACGCAGAGCTTTACTGAATGACACCGAATGCTGGCACACTACCTTAGTAAAAGCGCGTTAAGCATAGCTCGCTTTTCCTTCTAACTTACTTTTAGTGCCGCGGGGGGACATTTCTCCGAAAGGCCCCGGCAGCTCTGCGCCAGCACCCTCCCGGGGCGGAGGGCTGCTCCTCAAGGAGGCGGCGGACACTCCCGGCAGTTGAAGCCGGGCAGACCGCAGGGGCCTCCCGCCCTCGACCCGCCTGGAGATGCGCCGCCGGGTATCGCTCACCACGGCGAGGCCGAAGGTAAGAGCCCTGCGAGGCCGGGGGGCGCCCGGGCTGCGTCGGGAGAAGTGGTGGGCGGCGAGGAACTGCCGCCAGGGCGGGATTGCCGTGCGGTCCCCTCCCCGCCGGCACGACCTCGGTGCCGGGCGAGCTGCGGGGAAGCGGCGCGGCCTATTACCGGGCTGCACGGCGAGCAGCGGCACCGGCCAGCGACTCAGAGCTGAGGGAGCGGGCCCGGCGCAGAGCAACATGGGACGGCGGCGCCTTCACCCCGGCGCCGGGCGGAAGGGCGGCCCGCGGCGGGATCCGGCTCTGGGCCGGAGGCAGGCGGGGCAGCTCCGGGGCTGACGTGGCCGCCGCGCCCGCTTCGGGCGGGGTCTCGGATCCTCCTAGCCGTTTCCTGCCGGGGTGTTTCGGCCGGGGATCGTTCCTTCCAGGGCTGGGCCCGTTTCGGCCTGGCGCTGGCATCCTGCGCAGTGCTGCTGCTCAGGAGAGCTGGCCTCAGGCACTGCAGTCTGTGTCCTGAGCTTGGAGCCTTACATGTCTGCAGATAAGACTGCGAAGACGTCAGTTTCCTCAGGGGCTTTTCCCTGCACCTGCCCTCGCCTCGGGTGGAGAGAGGACCCCAGGGCAAGAGGGACTGTGGTGGGCCCGCCGCGGGTGGTCACTTGTATGTCCTGACACAAGTCCCCATTAGCATAAGTCTCTGAAAACAAAGAGGTGTGGGATGTTGCCGCAGGTTTCCCGCTGGGCAGAGGACCGCAGAGCAAAGAACAAGGATCCTGACCGGAGGGCACTGGGGTGGGCCTCGTCACTGAGGTTAGGCTAACACCTAAGTCCAGTACGAGGGCTGTGAAGGGACTGGGAGGTGATAGGGTGTTTTGAGGTTGGGTGGACTTCTTTCAGAAGTTATGTATGGTCGAGAGCTATTGAGCTTGTTACCAGTTCTTACTTGTGGAGACAAAACATTTGGTTTTATGAATAGGGCTTGGAAAGCAGGATCTCAAGTACATATACATTGCAAGAAGTCTTTGCAAGAATTTTCTGTTTCAAAGATAATTCTGGAGTATCTGTAACCCAGAATTTCCTGCAGTTTCCCCCACCATGCACTTGCTTTGTTTGAAATCATACCATGAAGTCTTAGGGTTCACTCTCTGAGCTTACTCTCACTTACGAAGGCAGAACCAAATGTGAATTAGATGCTTCAGCCGATGAAACTGACATAGAAGCACCTATGGCTCATTGTTGCAAGTGAAATTGATTCATGCTTTTTGGTGTTTGCTTCTCAGGCTTGGCTAGCTGAACAAATATTTCCATTGTGTAATGTTTTGGGGAAAAATCTATTTAGTCAAAGAAGACAAAAATATTGTGCTCCAGTAGAGTGTACCTGAGAAATTAGTTTATAATTTTCATGTTATTACAAACTTACAGAAATCAAAACATCTGTCAGACTAATGCTGAAAAACGTATCTGCTGAAACATTTACATTTCCTTCCTAATGGTTATGTGCCAAAGTACCTTAGTGGATGGTTACTTTAGTTTTAATTTTCAATTTTCAGAATTTAAATGAGACTTCTTATAGAAGGACTGGATATTTGAGGCAACATTAACTTCTTTATGTGTGTATTCAGTGACTTGGGATCTCTAAGATGGGGTTAGGATGTTGTCCTGCATTCATTAGAAGTTCATTTGGCACATGCTGATGCATGTAGTCACTCGGGTATTAAGGAAAGAATGCATGCTAAAACATGAAATGTATCTGTCTGAAGCTAGTTTAATGTAATTAACTGTCAAGTGTTTCTTTTTTTTTTCAGGCTAAGCTTCACTAAGAGGAATATAAACAACTGCTATGTAAGTGAAATGAGTTCTTTCTGAACGCATGAAGCTTAGAAGTCAGTGCGTGATGTATTCTGGAAAAGCTCTCTTGTTTAGCTAGAGGAATACAAGAGCAGGCATTTCTTGATCTTCAGTCATGATTAAAACTCTGCTTTACTTTCAAGTAAATTAATGTTATGTTTCTGAAAATGCTGCAAGTCTAAAAATATCACTAAAGTATTTGCTTTAATTCCTAATGATAGTGAGTTTGGTGAGTTATCTGCTGTTCTTTTTGCCAGGGTGTTGAATGCCTAATTTGAGTGTTAAAGGAGATGGAGAGCAGACATTAGTCTTAAGAATTCTGATTCCTTTAGCAGCTATCTATCTTAGTTCTATGGTATTTTTGCTTCTTTTTTTTTCAAGCTGTTATTCTGATTTACTCAATAAAATGCTTCAGTTTTTCTGTTTCATGGTGATTTCCTCATTTTTTTTAAACTGGTAATTTAAATCAGAATTCATGTCTGCATGTCTAGATGGGAAAATAGGGTTATTTTTCTTTCTACACTGTACTGGTCATATAAGAGCTGTGCTGTGACATAGCTGTATTTCATCAGTCAAGGAATATCTACCACTGTTTTGGTTTACTCCCCTGCTCATGGCTATGGGCTTGTGTTGGGTCAAGAGGAGTAAGTGAGGGCCCTGAACAAGTGCCCAGAAACAACCAGGAAAAGCTGCTATAGCTTGAAACATGCAACATCCCTAAATGCTAGTGCTTTTGATTGACATGGAGAGTGTAATGACTTGCGACCCTAATGACTTTACATGACTCACAAGTCACTTAAAAGCAACTTTATGCTTCACTTTGTGATAGGCATTTGTCATCTGCTTATGTGAAGATCATACTGAAGTATAAGTGAGCAGGGCTATTTATGCACACAGTGAGTGATGTTGCCTTTTCTTGCCAATTTGAACTACAAGCTGTGAGAACAGAATGAAGTTTTCTAATCTAAGGTAGTCTTCAGTAGTCATACAGTTAAATGGGCCCTTGGCTTAGTGATTATGTTGTTGTCTATTTCTGCCTTATACTATGTTTGTTTTGAATCAGCTTTAAAAAATCAGTGCCAACAACTATAAATAATAATTGTGAAACCTTTCGTTTTGCTGGAATTACCACATCAAATCTGTACTTGGTAAAGATAGTATCAAAGCTTTACACACTATGCTGAGTCTTTTCTTTGCATCCCTCTTTTTCTTCTAAGTGTGTGATTGTGACTTTGTGGAACTATGTAACCTGATTTTATTTTTGCCTGTGGAACTTGGGGACAGCATACTTTGTATCAGTTGTCTTTCATGACATGAATTCTAAGCAATTTCTTTAAACCTTCATTATAATCTCTCTCAAATCTTTCACACTTATCAGTACTTGTACCCTAATATTATAGTAGCCTCCATACCTACATCTTGTTTGGAGGTCTTGGTTTTAAGGTCTTCATAAAATAAAATCCATCATATTTTTCCTGTTTCACTATTTCTGCTTTAGTAAAGGGGATAGGAAGGAGAAATCTACACCACTGGCTGTTAAATTAAGACTAATTAAAATAAAGGAAACCAGTAGAATTCTGAAAAAAAAATTAGTATTATAATGAAAAAGAAATCAGAGGAGCTGAACAGTTCAATTTTTCTCATGTATCAGAAAATAGACACTAGGTTGTTAAGTTAGTATTGGTATGAATATTTGAATTAATTTGCAGGTTATGGTGCATACATAAAATTACTTTGTAATTTAAATTTAGAAAGCCAATTGGAAAGAATGCCATCAGATATCATTTTATAGAATATATAAAATGTTTAATTAAGCACTAAAGCCATATAAACCATCTGCTTCTGTTTAAATAGTCAAGATGTTGCAGAGCCATTTCTTGTAATTTAAAACATCTATGCATTTTTGATTGCTTTAAAATTAGCATTCAGCTTTCCTAAGGACTTAGGTTTTTTTTCCCTGCAGTGAGATAGGCAGTCATTATTAATGATGAGGATTTTGAGCAGAAATTCTGTTCATTTTAGCACATTTTGAACTTACTGATTTTTGTCATTTAAGTTTTGTGTTCTTACTAGCAGTTTAAGGAAGATCAAAAGCTAACGTAGACTGCAGCAGTTCAAAGGTTTCTCTATGATGCATGGTGGTTAATTTAGGTGGAACTGGGCTTTATTTTTTTTTTTTTTTCCATTTATCAGCTGTGCCTTTTCCTGCAAACTTTCATTGATGCTTAGTAGCTGAAAGGATACAGCTCTTTCAGGCTGTGCTATCTTCAAACTAATTCCGTCTGCAGGCTGCTAAAGAATCAACATAAATATGTTATGTGGAGCTGGCAGAAGGGCTGTGAGCAGGAAGGGTATGGCTCTTTAGTCATTCCCAGTGGCAGAATTTCTGGGGACCCCTTGCACATTGAAAGCCACCTGCCAAATCCAAACTGAATTCTCAACATTCAAAGGAGCCAACCAGAAATCCCATGGCCTTGTTAGCAAACTTACTTACAAAATTTTCTGTAACTGGAGTGTAGCCTTATAAGCAGGCAGAGCTTTATATGACTGTAACTTTCCAGTGTGTTTGGAGATTCTCTGATGCAATTGAAAAGCTGTTTGCAAGGTGCTTGTCAGAAGCAGTTGCTGACAGTTTAGAAAAGATGAGGAGATAAAACGAGGTATGACTGGGGGCAGAAGCTTCCTCTAACATATATTTCACAGTTTAAGGGTTTCTTCACAGATCTTGAATACAGAAATGTACTTTCTGTCTGACTTGGTCTGCCAGTGACTGATCTTTTGAATTCCTGATTGTGATGTTACTAAGTGCTTTTCCCTTGGAAATCCCTTTGGAATGCTTTATCTGGTTCCAGGGATTTACACCTCATTGTGTTTCCTAAAGGTATCCCAGAAATCTTTATACCTGTTTTAATGCAGAGTTTAGTATATATCCTTCTAAGAACAAAAAGTGTTAACATTGTTGTTTTTGTAAGTCTAAATAGGGTAAATTGCTTTGTAGAAATAAGCTTCGAGCTATAATATTTTATAGGATTTTCAGGCAGCTGATGTTCAGAGATGGCTTCACTATAGTGCGCTAAAAGGTTAAAATATTTGACAGATCTGATTCCAAAACTTCTGTCTTCCCCTATTCTGTGATAGCTTAACAGTTTTTTTTTAATTCAATAATAATTTGAGGACGAGTGTGACTAATTTGTAACCAATGTATCCCTAAATTCGACTGATCCTTAAATTGCTCCTCATCTCCTGAAGTGAGAGGTGCATGGGAACCACCACAGTGTAGCAGATGGTGAAGGTGTCTGCGTACTTC